GATAGAGCTTCACTGCATGCAATCGTTGCAAGTATAGATGGGTCCGTTAGCCCCTCAATATCCACAACCCAAGATCCCAGATAATGGTTGTCCGAGTTCCTGCACACAACGCTAAAGACACCTTTCCTTCCAGCTCAGTTGATAAGGCTGTCAACATTGACACTTTCCACAACAAGCGCCTTCCACATTGGGCGAACAGGTCGAGTACCGCAGACCATAACCTTGCCCTTCTTCTCCAGTATCATCTCAAGACCAGCCAGGAAACATAGAATGCAAGCGAAAGTCCACAAGAGACTCCAAAAATGTTCTTCATGCATCACTTTCCTCCTAGCCCAAGGGACTCTAAAAATATATTTTCATTGATTGTCACATTTTTTAAAGTAACCTCCATATACTTTTGGAAATAATTGCATGGCCTAGGATATAACCAAACATATTGCTAACAGGCCACGCTATTATTTCCCTGTTTCCACGCCAGGCTCTGCTTTTCTACTAGGAATGGCACGAAGACTAGGCCTCAAACAAAACTATTCCAAAATCTCGCCCCCAAAAACAAAACTAGCCCTTAATTTGCAGGTAAGAGAGGGAGAACACATGGGAATGATTAGCATACACACACATCTTAGATGCAAAAATAAAATAGAACATTAAATGTTGACCGTCAGATCACAGATGAATGTCTCAAATTGGCTGCGCTGGAGTTGCTAGAGCTTCTATGTTAATTTCGGGAAAACCACTAACTAACAGCTATTTCGTAACTTAACATAAGACGTTTTTTTTTGACACAATGACACTGTCAAAACACATCTTGTATTGGACTTTGCTAACTTCCACCCAGTCGGAACTTAAGCAACAGATCCACACAATTCTCCTCGTTCCTGATTTGCATGCACTAACTTCCGTAGTTTTTTTAGCCAACCGATAGTTAGTAATAGATTGGATGCATGCATGTGGGAGGAGCATTATTGACATGCATGCATATAACAACAAAACTTATGATGTCAGCAAAGATTCCTCTCAAATTCAAACTTTAAAATGTTTTGTAGCTTAAACCGTAGCTCCGATTGAAAAACTGTTTTCACATAAAAAATTCAGCTCGACGAGATCTTCGAAACTAGATCCCATGTTGATATGGTCTGGCGACCATTTTTTTCGGGTCAAAAATTATCACGCCTCTCCTACGTAAGTTATGATGTTGTTTACACAAAATTTATCAAGGCATCAAAAATAGTTCCTACAATTTTTTCCTCACATGCACAAGCATCCATGCACTAGAGGACAAAAAAAGAATGTCGTCCAAAATTCCAAAATGTTTTATAGCTCAAACGCATGTCCGATTCAAATCCATTTGAACAACAAAAAGTTACGACGAGACATTCAAAACTAGATCACATATAAAACGGAATATTGCGCATTATGCCGGGCTAGACCCACAAAAGTAACCATGCTTGGGCTAAGTAAGGTATCAGCTCTGTTATGCGTATATTACCATGTTATTTACACAGATGTAACCGAAGTATGTTTTCAAAAACTTTTTTCGATGGATCAAAATTATCGTGGTGTTTTTATAGAAGTTATTAGGTATGGGAGTCTGTATTACCATGTTATTTACAGAGTATGTTTTCAAATTTTTTTCCCACAGGTCAAAGTTATCGTCGTGTTTATACATAAGTTATCAGGTCTGAGAGCGTATATTATCATGCTATTTACACAGAAGTTATTGATGGTATATTTTCAACAACTTTTTTCCACGGGTCAAAGTTATCATTGTGTTTGTACCTAAGTTATCAGATCCATGAGTCTATATTATCATGCTATTTACACTAAAATTTATTGGTGATATGTTTTTAACATATTTTTTCTGGGTCAGAGTTATCGTGGTATTTATACCTCAGTTATTATGTCTGCGGCGTGTATATTACCATGCGATTTACAAATAAGTTACCAGGGGTGTTTGTCAAGAACTTATTCCTAGGTTTAAATTACTCCTCCGTGTTTGTATGCAAATTATCAGCTCTGTGGTGCTGAAATTATCACGTTATTTACATAGAAGTTATCGAAGTATGTTTCAATAACTTTCCCCCCTAGGTTATAAACCTAACTTGGCATACATGGACCACACGAAGAACTGGAAAAAAAAATGACTCGGCATGAGAGAAAAAAATCGAGGTAAGTTACCACGTATGTTGTGCGAAATTATCGTGCTATTTACACAATAGCTACCGGGGGTATGTATTTCAATAAGTAATGTCGGGTCAAAATTTTACCATGATGTTTCTACATGAG